GGTACGTACACAATAACGGATATGCGGGTGTTGCTGTGCAAGTGTTTGGTTACGTAAAACATCTGAAAAATTGAAAACAATCGGCCCTTTCCGAGGCCACGAATTTTCCTAACGTAGTAACAACACTTTGGATTAAAAATACAGTAAGTGATTGTGTCGGGTGATCAGTGTTAGTGGTCGTGCAATGAAGCGAGTACGTATTCTGTGGAATAACCAGGACCCACTTGACGTTACAACCCTTAACTTCGGCTGGTGAGGTATACCTGCGATCACCTGCGAACTGGGCCATACCCTGCCATAAACCGTTTGGGCCGTCGATGACCAGGATCGGTACACTGACCTACTGACGCAGGTTTCTACGCTGCAGGTGAATTTCCGTAAGGGTGAGTTCTATTCAGTTTATTGGTCATTATTGTTTTATTAATTTCACCGAACTACAATTACTTCTCGTTTATTCTTTGTTACATTACCTTTTCGTTCACACGTTATTTGAAAAGGAAATTTACAAATTCGTAAAAAGGAATTTACAAAAATGTAAATGTGCATTCGTCTTTTTACGTTAAACATAATTTGCCTACATTTACGTTTCATTCACTAATCTCGTTAAATAACAAAAGACAGATGATAAAAAGTATGATTTTATTTGTTACGTCTTGTTTATTTGCTATTATTATACGCGGTTTCCTGCGATGCATGGTAACCTACTTGTTCGGAGCATCGTAGTACAAGCGTAGCGCGTAGCCACCGCTAGCGCGGGAACTCGGCTGGCAAACTCGCGCTCTGATTGGTCGCGGTTTTTCGTTAATATCTCGTAAACGAAGCCTCAGTTTAAATTTTGGCTAAGGAAAAAGTTGTTCCAATTCACCCCCCGAGTGCCACATTTCCGGGTCGGAGGACATTTTTGGGACACCCTGTAGATACTAAATTTGAAGATTATTTAATGCAGTTCTAATGCAGAATAATTATATTAAAGTCATGTAAAAATAGTGAAAGGTTTTTGCAAAACAAAAATAAGCGTTTGATCAAGAAAATTTTTAACGCTTTCAGTTTTTAACTGTATGTATATTCACTAATTTTATTAAGCAATGCCTTTGATATAGGTATGCATTTAACATTTTAATTACTCTACCTTATTCATTGTATTCCAATCTAATTTGAATCTTTCCATATTAAGAATAACATTTTATATAATATATAAGTACAAATAAAAGTTTCTAATTTATATTGCAAAGCATTCTATTACACTGTTTGACATTTGTTTAGTGAAAAAAAACTAAAGATTTATAGTTGAAAAGTTAAAAACATAAGTGTTCATAGCTGTCTATCTCTATTAAATACTTCATATTAACTAAAAACGAAATAAAAATGTGAAAAACAAACTTTTTCTAATGAGAGGAATATTCATGAAGGAGCAAGACATTTTTTTAAAAAACTGAATTAACTTTATTCCATTACAATATATTCCCTTGTATTCATGTTGGAACTGTAGTTATCATATCATATAATATAATAATTTATTTATAATTCATGTGCATGTAACTTGAAATGGTGTTAATTAATAACAATTAATAATTCAACATTTCTTTTGAAACAGATTTTTAATATTATTGAAGAGTAAACTGATAAATTAATTGAAAGGTCCAAAATTACACGAGAGAAACATACTAGAACAATTGTATTGTACTTCATAGTGATCAAAGTATGTACCAATACTTATAATAATAAGTATATATTAAAATTGATGTATGGCACAACAAAAGAGAAAACTTACAATTTCACTTACATTCTGAATGATTGTATTGATGGCATACAGGTGCCAGTTAACAGAGAAAAGCTGCAATATTATAATAATGTGTAATATTTATTCTGTGGTATGTGATGACACGTTGATACAGATGTATTTAATATTTTAATAACTGTATAACACGTTCACGACGGTGTCGTATTTTGTTTTCCTCGCCATGAGGTGAGTCTATTATTTAGTCTTTCTTTCATCAGGCGCGAATGTACCACCAGTGACACATCCCGTTGTGAACGTGTTAAAGATTACATAAATATCTCGATAAAAATATATGGATTTGAATATTATAACAGTATTATCTTTCATAACATAAAAGTAAAATACTATTTGAATAACATCGACACAAATTACTTTGCTATAAATGGAGAAACCTACCAAAAATGACTTCTATGAAGTAGAGGGTTTCGTACATGCATCTAGAATAGCAGATTAAAGGTATGTGTACATTTTTTACATTTGGAAATACACTACAACTTTGAACTCGTTTCTATAAGAATCACATCTTTTTATCTAATTCATGAAAATTATGACTAATTCACTTAAAATTATGAATTAATTCACTTAAAATTATGCACACTCATAAAAAAAACACATTATGAAATAATAATTGTAGCTTCATTAGTTCTTTGATGCTCACAAAAAAGTTTCACTTTTATTAAAAATACAAATTTTTTGCTATTAAATGACACCTTTCCATCATTAACCCAAAATTATTATAATTTATTTAATTTGCACTATTTAGAGTCATGTGTAGATCATAACCCAGTTGAAGTTTTATTCCAATTTACTTTAGCAGTAGTCTACAAGGCAGCCAGTCTACTGCATTTCTGAAAATGTGTGTGGATTTGCATTTATATTTATGAAGTGGTGTTTTTTTCCACTAATGAAATATGAATTTTATCTCAATACAATGCCTAATTGTTCTCATAAACTTCCATTTAATTAACTCTTACCAGCTCCATAAAAAAAAAGAACACTCCATAAAGTACCTATTTTTTTTTAGTATTCAGACAAAGTAACTCCATAATGTTTATTACAAGAATAAAATTGAAGTAAAAATAAGAAATGCATTTTCATAGTAATTTGTTGTACAATGCTATAGTAATACTGATTAAATCATTATTTATTGATATTAGAACATAGCATTTAAAAAACTCAATGTTTTAACAGAATATATTACAGATTTATGCCACAATTATTTTGTAAATAATTAAATAATATTATACACTATTATATACCACTTACACCAAAATTAAAATATAGATAATAAATTTTTAATTGTAAAAAATCATTAATACATCAACTTTTATTGTGTCTTCATAGAAGTTGCAGTGAAGTATTTACCAATAGTTCTGACAATCATTATAACACTGGAAGAAAATTAATTGCGACAAAAGAATAATTTTTAATAACAAAATAGAATTAAATTGTTAAGAAGTAATACCTAAACAGAGTAACTACTCCAGCTGGCATTATTTTACCACTATGGTACAAACGATAACCCATAACTCCACCAAGAGTAGTACTAGCTCCTAAGAAGACTCCAACATTAGTAGGATCTACTGAGGTTTGGTAAGCTCCATATCCAAGAATGGTTCCAAAGAAAAGTCCAGCACCCAAAGATGGAATAGAATCTAACACAGTAAGCAGTTTTATGTCTCATTCTCAAGAAACATGTTTGTCATTAATTGTCATTAATCATTGATCGAAGCAGGGAAAACTCCTATATAAAAACGCAGGTGATCAAATTATATAGATGACATGTATTTTCTTACTTATCAGATGTAAATCTAATTATTTACAAAATTGAACTTACTTGATTTAATAAAACCAAGTACACCACCTGCGGCTACTGTAGCAGCATATGTGTACGCAAGTATATCAACCGGCATTTTAAATGATATGATTACAGTTTTATTATGAACTTCCCAAAGCAACCGGATTCTTAATGATAAACAAAATGCTTACTTATTTTTTGCATATCACAGTTTTCACCATAGACATATATAATAGACTGCGCGGTCTTAATGGTCTTATGGTAGGAATGAAGTCTGCACTAGAGGGAGGGAACAATAACTGGAGTAGCTTTTCTCTCTTCCTAATGGGCTATTGGTGGAGGATTCTCCTACGTGCTCCTACGGTTGAGTGGAGGCATATATTACATAGATGCAGCCGGTGAATCTCGGCCTCATCTTGTAGCGGCGTCCAGCGTAAGCTTCAAAAACGTGAAATTCAAATTGAGGTATATGATTGTATCACCGACGAGGTATAGGATAGACCTATCATATTATGGGACTGCGTGTCTCATGTTCTGAAATACCGATAGTGTAAAAAGTCAGGGATTATCTGCTGCCCTCTACGTTATGAGAACGTTGAATTTGTGAACTACGTTAAATCCATTCGAGCTCAACTAGTCTAACTTCTACAGTGTTTTCAAGTCTAAAGTACAATGTTGTCAGATCATGAGTGTTCGGTACGTCGGAAAATCATCGAAGGGACCATGGTCGTGAACGGATTCTCTTTCGTCCGTTCACTGTAAAGTAGACGTATTAGAAAGGAGTCCTGGGTTCTTGTCCCGACGGAC